ATCCCACTCAGAAAAACCAGACCTACTCCAAGAACCCCTTCAACTGGTCTACGTAGAGGCACAGGGATGGGTTCAGAGATGACGTGGAGTGTACCCACAGGAAGCCAGGGGTGCTCCATCCAAGCCACCCTGGGTGGACCAGGCTCAAAACTTAGTACTACTGCAGCACTGGTACCATTTGAGGCAATATAATATATCCCTGCCTATAAGGCCAGCCTGTGGCAAACCAGGCTGTGTCCCTAGGTACAGTTTTGTATAATTAAGTACTATAAGTAGGAAGGAATTTACCTAATGTTGTGCATCTATGTGTCTTTACAGTGGTTACAAGAGTTCTGTACAATGTAGAAGGGCATTCCTGCTATACAGGTAGGCCACACAAGGCCATCCTACATTTTTCACCATGGCTCCCATTACCAGGATGTGGCTCATTTCAGCTTTGGTGATTAGCTTCCTGCAGGACATATTTACAGAAAAACTTATAGGGTTGCTTCATGTCACATGTCAATTACTCACATTTGCATGTATAATGTTGGAGGTATTTAAGGCACTGAATTCCATGTGTTTGTCAGTTATCCATTTTTGCATGGAGATCCAGTTGTCACTCAGTAGGAACTCAGTCCAAATGGAGTTCCTCCTTAGCTACTCAAAGGTATAAAACCATGTATCTGGCATTAGATCAACTTTGTAGATGGATTATGTGATGGGTCCAGGCCAGGAAAACATTCCTTGAGGATGTACAAGCAGTAGGAAGGATGATATAAGAGTAAAAGTCCAAGCAATAGAAAGGATGATATAAGAGTGAAGGAGAAGGCAGCTCAAGCTAATAGTGGAAACATAAAAATTTATTAGGAACACACAGAGGCTGCCTGCTCTTTCTGTTTATAAAACTGGTACTAGACTTCTCTTTTGTGCAGTAATCATGGGGACCCTGGGAATCTTCCCAGGAGGGCTAGACTTTCCATCTCAATGTGGGAGGAGTTGCAAACTCCACAGTGATGGGGCTAAATGACATCAATTTTACTCGTCCCATTGCAGTACCCTTGAGTAAGACAGCACTGTCTGCTATTGCCAATACATCTCCCTGAGCCATTCATCCAATAGGAAAGTGGTCATTTCCAGGGAGATGAGGGCCTCTTGCCTCAAAGGAAGGATACCAGTCCAGGCAGTGGCACCTTCCACTCCAGACACCATATTAAGATTCCTTGCTCAAGAATCAGGGGATAAGGGGAGTGCAAAATCCCAGCATTCTGTGTAGAAATGAGTTGGTAATTAAGGCAGTGTCTGACATCATCATATCATCCTGGCTTACACCGAGCAACCAACTTTCCTCCCCTAGTGAGGGCCCCATTCATAGAACATACAGCTTCTATTAAAATCACAGCCCCATTTCTTAATGAAGGAAGTTCCATCAAGAACTTTGTTTCTTAAGAGACCATTTTCCTTCTCTTTAAGTTCTGTTCCCTATGAGTTGAAAAGAAAATGGTATAGCCATGTAATGCCCTCCTTTCTTACTCAGTTCTGGATTTGAGAGCCTGAGAATGTCTTACTTGATCACTGTGATGGTTCTTGGGGTACCACACATTATTTGCAAGTTTTACAGTCACTGTGTAGTAAAGATTGGTCTTGCTTTTCACCATGGGAAGGCTTGCAAAAAGCCACTCACAGTGTCTACATATGAGTGCCAATCAGTATCCCTTTCCCTTAGGGAATGGGCCAATATAATCTATTTCTATGGGTTAATGGCTTTTTTCTCTTTTTATGCTTCTGGTGCCTGTGGCTTTTGTTGAGGATGAGCCTGGAAATAGATGGGAAATTCTGTATTACCTTTTCTATTTCTTATTTGGACACTGGTAAACCAGATCCCTATGACCTCATTTCTGATGTAGCCAACGTACTGTAGCTGCTTCCCCTAAGATCACTGGCTAGGCTCAGGCCAGGATATCTGCTTCTATTCCCACTATGGTGTGGTTATTGCTCTGTGGAACACTTGTGACTTTATAGCAAATAGTAGAGTTATGTAATAGTGGAAGCACCCTAAAGGTATGTGGTTGGCCCTGCAGGTGAAGGTATATGAGTCCCAGGACTTCTGCTCTAAAGGTATACTAAAGAAGCATTTGATAATTCGGGGAAGAATATCATGTATCTGATCAAGTAGTCTTTCCAGTATTTGATCCTTTTTTGGGACAGCAGCATATATAGCCAGAGCACCTTATTCAGTCCCCAGTAATCAATGATCATCTTCCAGGTGCCATCAGACTTTTGCTCCAGTCATCCCAGGGTCTGGTGTGGGCTCTGTCCAGGACACACAATCCCTACCGTCTCCAATGACAGAATAGTAGCTGTTCTCTCTTTGTGTCCCCCTGGGAGACAATATAGTTTGATACATGACACTGTCTTGGATGGGGTAACTCCATTGGCTCCTATCCAGCCTCCCTTTTATTTATTTCTTCTTTTCCCACTGTATCCTCAAGCCACAGTTTATCTGTGGTTGTTTCAAGGATAGCTCCCAGGAAATTATCTATCCCCAAAATCCACTTTGGGATTGGGGATGTATAGACCCATGGAGTGTAGACCCAATTTGTAACAATGGACCTCTTCTCACAATGATAGGCCCACCTCTATATGCATGTCCATAAATGAGGGGCCCAGAAAATGTATTAGAGTGCATTCAGCCTAGGCATCCACCAGAGTGGACCAATGAATCTTTATTCTGACAGGGTTCCTCCAGTTCTCCAAATGGCCCTACATTAAGGGAACCCTATCAGTCCTGTCACAGTAGGGGCTGCAGTAGTAAGGGCTGCAGTAGTAGGGGCTTGCTTGCTCCTCCTGAGAAAGGAGAGTAGCACCCATCCTAGGGACCAAGAGGAAGAACTCAGGTCCCCACAGTAATGTAAACAGCTATACTCTGCAAACCATCCCCACAAGGACTCTCTGCCACTCACAGATCCAGGTGAGCCGGAGTGCAAGGTGCATGGTATCACCTCATTTTCCATTTTTTCCCCCTCTGTCTCTCCACTGTCAGCATATGGGACTCAGAACTGCGGCTGTCACCCAAGTCTCCCCCGGTGGCAGGCAGGACTGCATCGGTAAGCTCCCTTCTTCCATTTTACCCGGAGTACATAACTAACCTATCAGTGGCAGCTGAGCACATCCCTTTCCAGGTGTTACCCTGCCTCTACTTTGTGTACCTTGCTGTTGCAGCCCAGCAACTTGTCACCATAGAGGCCAGCACTATGGCCGTCCACAAGTGTCAGGCTTCCTTACAGCCCATTTACAATTTCTTACCAACCATAAAGCTACCTAGGCCAGCTAAACCCTGGGACATCTCTATACTCCCAGGTGACCCTCAAGCACTGAATAAGCAGCTGGAGTCCAGCCTGGACCCTGTGGCCATCCCAGGATCTCCTGGGTCAGTTCTTCTTTCCTCAACTCATCTCTTTGGATACCACTGACTACATCAATTGTTCACTCCCGGAGAAGTCCACAGCAGGGGTCATCCCAAAAGCTGCAGCAGAGGAATTTCCACAAGACAGTGCTCCAAACAGTCCTGAGATAGGATCCCCCATTAGGATTCTAAAGGAAGAAGCCCAAAGAGCCATGGTGACATGTTCAAGGCATTTATTAGGTGACCTTGCAGAGAGCTACAGCTTACGGTCCAGGAGGGCGAGAATGTCTGCAGGAAGGGGTGGGGAGGGAGTCTGTATGAATATTGACTCAGGGCTGGGACCTACTGGTCATGGACCTCTGAGAGTCTGGTCAAGACACAATGTGGAAGGAACTGGGGGACCCTAGGGCAGTCCTATCTTTCCCTTGCAAATGTAAATAGAATTCTAGAATCTCTACAACTCTGACACAGGTGCCTTATTCAAAGCAGGTTTTAGTTGTTGAGTGTATTAACTCCAGAAGATATCCAGAAACTCAGTTTCAAAAGTAACATTTCAAAGTCACACTAAATGGGTATCTTTCAGCAAGTATCTGCAGCTACAGAGCAAAGAAAATTGTGTTTCATAGAACTAAATGGAAGCCTCTATTTACAAGTAGAAACAGAACATAAAACAGTTTAAACCAGGAAATTTCTTCTTCCAATCATTCATGTTCATTAAATGTCCCGGCCCGCGGGTAAGTCAACGGAGACCCTAGAGGGGGAGTGAGAATGACAAGGGACAAGAGACACGAGAGATGGAGACAAGACAGGTTTCTGATCAAGTCTCGTTTATTGCGGAAGCTGCTACAGCATATATACCGTAGGGCTAGAGGGAAGGAGCAAGGGGAGGGTACTGGGGCTACTTCCTAGTTGCCAGGTAGACTTGCTGCAGGCCCAGACATGACTGTAAAAGGCACTCAAGAGTTCTAGCGGGGGGGGGCAAGGCCCTCCACAGGTCTTCCCTTTAAAATTATAACTATAGTAGAAAGGCGTCAGGAGAGCCAAGCCTGTGGGGGCTGAGCCTGTCTTGGGTCAGAGCGACATACGTGTCTGCACTGTGTATCTTACCCGTCATCGGTTAACCAGAGAATCAAGGCTCTAGCACCTGTCTTAGGCCGCACATGAGGGCTCTCTCATTGTATGGCATGCTTGTTCAGTTGCCCATCATTGGCTTGTCAGCCCACTCACCAGGTGGGGCGAGAACACTTTGCCAAGGCAAGGACCTAATCGACGGTCCGGCATTTGTTCTGGTCAGCCATTGCCAATCTGTGATAGTGGACCTGTATGGGCGCTGTTTTTATTGTCTCTATCTGGGCTCTAAGAAAGGCCATGACTTTGTTGTATATTACGGGCCCCAAAGAAATGAGCAGAAGTAGGCCCAATAAGGGTCTCAGCAAAGGGAGAAGATAAGGGAGGAAACCATTGAGGCCAGTCCAGAGGGGATTTTGAGTGAATTTTTGTCATCGTCTGTTTAGATCTTTCTGAAGTTTGCAAATTTTTTCTCTGACCATCCCAGATTTATTGCCATAGAAACAGCAATATTCTTTTAGGGCTATGCAAATCCCCCCTTGTTGGACCACCTCAGCCAAAGAATCAATCTGATCTTGTAAATCTGTAAGAGTGTTGGAGAGAGCTTGAACATCATTAATCAACTGGTTGGATAATTTGGCATAGGAGTGTAACGCCACTCTGACACCAGCGGAGCCAGTGGCAAGGGCGCCGGACACCCCTAGCCCCACGAGCAAGGGGACCAGTGAGACGGCCCTTTTATGTCACCCAGCGATATAGTCAAAGCTGGGCAAGGGCACTGGCTCATCTCTAGGAATGAGGGCGATGTCCGGGAGGACAGTCGCCACCATGCACAGCCCAGTCCAATTAGTGGGGAGGGAGGTGAACGCCAAGCTCCCTCCACAGACGAGCACGTGACCCGGGGCAGGGCAAATGGCGGCAGAGCCATTAAGCATTACAGAGCAGAGAGAGAAATTTTGGACTCTGACAGGTATATCGAAGCTATTGTTGTGTCCCGAACTTAGATAACAAACTGAGGCATTGAACTGTACTGGCTGGACCCTGAAGGGCAGGGAAAAACTGCAATTGTAACTAGAACTGTTGGCATAGTCAGTTTGGTCAACAACTGGCAAGGCGAGGGGCAGGGGTGTGCCAAGGGTCAAGCATAGCCAACAATCCACAGCAAAGACTGGGTTGGATGTATTGATCAATTGATAAGTGGCCTCTAAGACACTCAGGGTTTGGACGTCAGGGTCTGGGCCTAGAGGTTTGGGAAGGGCCAGTGGATGATAATTTAGGGAGGGGTACAACTCTTGGATGATAGTCTCAAGCTGTTTTTGTACTCGCTCTTCCCTGAGCTGATCTGAAGGCCCGCCACCATCAGATATATGAACTGGGGCCTGTGGCGGCCAGCAGACATCTTTGCCGGGACTGCCACTGCAGGAGGCTTGGCCAAATTTAGGATATCCAGTAAGACTGGAAAAGTCCCAGTCACCCTCGACGGAGCCCCTGTAAGTTCTTTGTAGAACAGCAGTTAGGTATATTTTTTCATCGGAATGTGCATATTGTTGGACTTCAGTGTAACAGGTAGAATGCATCTCTGTGGCCATGGCACAGCCGGTAGGGCATGGCCCTGGTTTGCCATAGATTGTTGGTATGATTTTAGGCTTAGTGACACAATCCCATTTTTGGTTATATCCTCCTGTTATCGAGGCCTCATAAACCAAGTAGGCAGTCTTGCTGCCGCAATCAGTACTACGGGTGTAACTTGTGGGTACGGGCCCGCCAGAACCCCCGGCACAGTCACAGGGGTTACCATACAGGGCAATGAGCAGTTGTTTCTTGTTAACTGGTTGAAATCCGCTTTTTGCTGTTGGTGCCAGGAGCAGCAACAGGCCATGTAACAGAATCAGGGATGTCATCTTTTTTAACCTGTAAGCAAAATTTCGTCCTGCGATGTAAGCAAGGCTGGGCTGTAGATAAGAGAATTAGGCTAACCTGATTAAGCTTTTGAAGATGACCAATGTGGACATATTACAATAACATATATAGAACTTAACCAATGTAAACATTTTGTAATAACATATTCAGTGCTTAAATATCAAGGATAACCAATGTAATCAATTTATAACATATTTAGACAATATTCATTGTGATGTGTCTCCCATAAGATTATAATATAAAATTTACTAGGGGGTCCCTTTAATGAA